AAGCGGCGCAGGAACTTCACGCCTTGGTTGTCACCACTTTTGGAGTTGACAAACACCAGGAGGGGACTGGTACAGGATGGAGGACAGGACGCCTTCCAGAAACCTGAGGACAAAGACACGGTTCAGTACTGACATGAGAAGGAGCCGTACTCTATTGGTGTTTGTTGTTGGAGGAGGGGAATAAACGCCACCATCAGAGTCGATGCTGTTGAGCGCCGTGGGAGGAATGACGGACACTTTACACTGGCCCAGAGGACACTTGGACGACAGCTGCTCCTTACAGCCAGAGTGCACCTACCAGACATAGGAAACATGAGACACACATGTTCACCAGCAGAGGGCAGCAGCAGAGATGTGACCTGTCCTCAACTTACCATTGCCTTGCACCATAGACAGCGCCAGTCCTGAAGACGTAGAACGCTACCACATGTCTTATCACAGATGCTGCACTTGGCCGACACTGGGAGGTTTCCCTCCAACCACTGGTGAGGCATGGACACCTGGGAGGTCACAGAGGGAGGTCAACCGATTGCTTTTGTGTAACCTCTGCTGACAGGTGAAAGTCTTATATTCTCATTAAATTAAAACCATCAACAAAAGAGATCAGAGGTAAGACAAGAGAAGTCAGAGACAGTGGACGAGTTATACAGGTGACTTACCCCGTCCTCGTCCTCAATGATGTCCTTCCCTATAGAAGCCAGAGTTGTCCATTTACAGTTGTTGGTCGCTCTGACTGCACAGCGTTTGTGAGCTTTGAACTTACACACTGTTGAGCACAAGTGGGAGGTGGGGCATGGGGGGGTTGCAGAAAGTAGGAGACAGAGACAGAAAATTTAATCCAATAAATTATTATTTAGTTACGTAAGTTAATTACTTCTCGTTGATGCTCAGCCCAACACTGCACACAGCTAAATGTGACCTCTCCATTTTACCCATCACCAAAGTGAACAGTGGGCAGCTTTAAGGGAGCAGTGTGTGGGGACAGTGCCATGCTCAGAGCACCTCAGTGGCAGCTGGTGGACTCAAACCTGGAAAATTCTGGACCCAAGGCCGCCATCACCACCAAGCCATGTGGAGGTATGAGTTACCATCTGAATTATTTTAATTATGATTATGAAATATTCATAAAATTATTAAGAAACTACTTCAACCACTATTAAATAACCACTTTTTTGTAGCATTAACTTTTTATAAAGTCAGTCGGTTATACAGGAGCTCCGTCATGGCTGTTTTTTTTTTTTTTACAAAAATTCTATTTCCACCTTTTGACCTATGAGGTCAAAAAGTCTCCACATGATGCCTTATTTTTTATGTGTGTCAGTGTGTCCATGTGTGTGTATTACCTTCACAGGACAGGCCGTGTGATGTCACTCCTGAAAGCGCCTCCCTACAGACGTTACAGTATGTGGGTCTGGCATGGGAGCAGGCGTACCAGTTGTGCATCCCACTGAAGTGGTCCATACTGTACTGGGTAGACTGACATACACACAAAGACAAACAGAGTTGGCTGACAGATAACACTGGGTGGAGTGGAGTGCCATCTACTGTCCCTTTAAGCTGCTATATTTAAGTCATCTCTAATTCTAGCTCTTTGAATTTAAACATCTGACTTGTTGAATCACTTTTGTGATTTATATATTTGTTTTAGCCAATTCTAATATAAGTGACACACACACACACCTCATAGTTATGTCTGTTCTGGACACTGCGCAGAGCTGCCATCCACTCCTCCATCTCTTTTCTGTTGTCTGCACAGAGGATGAGACGCCTGCAGGGGGCGATCACCTGAGGAACAGACCAGTGTGTAATGACCAAGTGTGTGTAATAAACCAGTTTAATTGTGTCTGAAGAGCACGCTCACCGTGAAGCTGTTGTTGACGTTTTTGGTGCTGGATTCTGCAACGCTGGCGTCGGTCAGATCCACTTCATCAAAGATGATGGACTAAGACACAACAACACAAACTGGTGAATTGGCGGAACTGAAGCAGCACCCTTCGGATTACATATGTCAAACTCAAACTGAACCCTCTTGTGCAGATCCAACAAGTCACGTCATTTTATTTGGCCCACAAAATGACCCAGATTCTATACCAGTGTTTACTGGATGGGTTAAATGCAGTGGTCACTTTTGTGTGTGTCTAACATATGCATGGTGAGAAATTTCAAATTCTACGTCTCTCATTCCAATTCCAAATTAAGCATTCATCTCCATAGGCTACATCTCCAATAACGCATGCCGATTTTGTGACCTGCCTTCCAGCATCCTGGCGAATGGAAAATCAACAACTACTACTACCAAAATGTCCAAAAATGGAAAAATGATGCAGAGGGAAGGCAGTACAACAATAGTTGGAGCAGGCCAATAAATATTTGTGCTTCAGGGGAAACAAACACAACATCAGAAAAGATGACCAAATAGAGAAGAAGAAGAAAAAGAAGAAGAAGAAGAAGAGATATTTTTAGGTGGGGCAGCCTGAAGGTCACTGGTCTCTCACCTTGGCAGTTTGAGCGTAATACAATGTCCTCCCTCGCAGTTTGAAATAACGACGCTTCCAGCGTTGGAATGAGTTGGTTTGTTTCATCAGAGTTCCCTCTTTCAGCACAGTCTGAAACAATAACACCACAAAAACATGAGACACACACACACTCTGTTTTCAATAACATAAAATTATGACATCAATGTTGAGCATTTGTGCGTCAACAGATTGAGTTTTTAATTAGGTCTCAGCCGAGTCGAATGGTTGTGGGACTAATCCTGGACTGTCTTTGTAACCTTTCTTCAACAAAGAACAAGCATGTGATCAACGTGATATGCATTTTTGTGGCTGATTTTAATCCAATTTTGCTGAGTCCAAATTATAATTCGGCATTCGTGTGTGTGCAGAAGAGACTCCTGGACTTACTACCTAATGAACTTTGTCAAACCCAAAGAAGAGTTTAGACCTCTGTCGGACACAGTCAGTAGACAGCACACCTGGGGTCAGAGCTACATGGACTCCTGAAAACTGTGCTGGAATATCAGTAGTAAACAGTGACCTGCAGCAGAACTTGTCCTACAAGTAACAAAGCATCTGGTTGATAAGCATCAGCTGACAGACACAAATAATCTGTTTCCTGAAGGCTCAGACACAGTCCTGTCAAAGAAAGAGAGAAAGAGAGAGAGAGAGAGAGAGAGAGAAAGAGAGAGAGAGAGAGACTGAGAAAGACAGAAAGAGAGAGTGAAAGAAAGTAAAACAGCCTTCACTAAGAGAAGAAAAACTCAAAAAAGTAAATAATAACAACTAAGATCTAACCACAGCTAAAAGTTTCAATCAGGATGCAACAAAAAAAATGTAGCCACTAACTAAAATCAACAGCTATCACCTACTAACAAAAATCCATTTAAACTAGAAACTACTAAAAACCAACAAGTAGCAACAAACAACAAATAATTTTAATCAACAGCAGATGGTTAAAAAAAAACCCCTAACAGCTCACATTAAAGAAAACGACTGACAATTAACACCCATTCACTACAAAAATCACAAGCTAACATGTGGCCACTAACAACCGACACTACAGACTAATCAACACCCTTAACACTTTTTTAACAACCAAAATAAACTAACAATTAACACATGATCAACAGATACATTTACAGCAAAAAACTATCAACCATCTAGCAAATAACAATTTATCAATAAAACTAAAAACAAAAACTAGACAAACACAAAAGTTAACATCTGTCTGTGCCTGTCCTTTGAATGTTTATGTAACATGCCTTCTTATTTAAAACATTCCACTGAAGTATCCTTTTATATGTTTACCCTTTAAAAGCACCATTAAATACACACTGTCAGTAATAAGCAATGAAACAGAAAGAGTCATAAGAAAAACATTCCTCTCTCACCAGACCAAAAGTCTAAACTTAGATGTTTTCCCAGATCGTTCCAGAACCACACTCGCTGGTTTTTCTCTGAAAATACCAGGATCTCAGTAACATTCAAGATCTACCCAGAGGAGCGGAGTGTGGAAATACAGCCGTTATTCAGGAGAAAGAAGGAACAGAATTGTAGCAGAGCCGATGTCCGTGATTGGTCACACTTCAGTGACGCATGATGCACTGAATCATGGGACATGGATGACGTTGAGGCAGTATACAGCGAGGCATGGGATAATATAAACAAATTGTTCCTGATTATCTCAGCCAAAATAACTTGTTAAATATAGAGAGCTACTGCCTTCAGTACAGGCCAGTGTTGAACCCCAACCTTTGGACCAATCACTGCCCATGGGAACGTTAGTTAGAATGTGTGCAATTTTAAGAACAAGTCACACCGACCTCAGTTTAAATGTTGCTCTTACGTAAGCGCCAGCCACCATGTTGCCCCATGTGTTTCCTGTGGTTCTTCTAATGCATGGCTGATCCTCACTTCAGCCATGACCACGCTGTGGCACGCTGGCCACTGTGGTCCAACTTCTGGTTTCTCAATAATGTTGTTTTTGACAACAAAGTATCCCTTTCCCTTGATATACACATTCCTAGAATATACATGAATGACTCACAAATATATATAGCAAGTATAGAAACATAATTCACAATGATAACAAAATATACGTGTGTATATATTTACACATATATACACATACATGGATTTATATAATTGGGGAAAAAGGAAATTATATATGTGTAACAACAGGACACTGGTCATTAAACTGGGAATTACATGGATTTACACTATGGTCTGAAGACAATATCAACACACTAAATGCCCTACATGAGACTTAGAAAAAGACTTTAATCTGACAATAGGAGACTTTAAGCCTCAGGCAGTTTAAATCAATGAATCTGCCCCGTGTATGAACAGCCCTGCCTTCTTGAGTACAGTGGAAAAAGACAAACTTCTGAGGGAAGTTAACGCAGCGTGTTTTTTCCTGAAGTCCTAGAACATGACTGGACACACTGACAGTAACAACACAGTGTTTCCTCTACATCTCCCACATGACTCTTTCTGCAGCTAGAAATAGCAACTGGAGGCTCTGAACCTAAACTCACTTCCTGTGACTCAAACATCCACGTCAGAGTGTGCTCAGCTGCTGCTGCCTTCAGGGTCCAACAGAATGCCAGCGTTTACCACATTAACCAGTCCTTAACCGGTGCTTTGGTCTGAAAACCAAGGTCTGTTTTTTCACAGTCAGGTTGTGCTGAAAGGTCAGTTGACACTAAACAAACAGTGATGAAAACACCAGGCAACATCAGGCTAATACTGAACAAACAATGAGCCAGCGCAGTATACACTGAGCTAAAAAAAAAACCCTGGTAACCACAGTGACAACTTCAGTACAGAAACGCTGTGAGTTTTGCAAAAAAAATTGTCTGTTTAAAGAACAATTTTTGGAGTGAAGTATTTCTGATCAAAATTCTGAACTGGACTCATTATCAGACCTTATTATGAGATCATTTTTAGTACCTCCTTCATGTCTCACAGAAGAAATATGACAAAACATCACCACACATTTTAAATAGTCTGATTTCATCTTCACATGTACTCTCATTTCTAAAAACAGCCAAAGACACAACTGCAGCTCCCAGATTAGTTTCATTCAGCGCTGCTCCCAACATTCTCTGCTTATTCTCATATGGCCTGTACGAGGAATGTTGTAGCTAGGATTAGCTCTGGTCTATGTGCTCACAGTAATATTTTTTTCATTAAGGTGACACTACAAACTTAAGATAATGCAGGGAAACTCTCTGTTGAACAACTTACACACAACCATGCTTTCATCCAAGTTGCAATTGGGAGGATTAAAGAATACAAAACAAAAAAGCAACACTGACATCACTAAATGCAGACAGTGACACACTGAACATGCCTATTACAGTAACTACTGGTTAATCTCACTCAACCATTTAACATATTCACCCTCACACCTCCTTGTTTCTATATATTCCTTGTTCTACAAAACAGGACTAATCTTCTGTAAGAGCAGAGCTTGTTCTCCTGCGTACACTTACATACAAAACATTGTTGCTTCAACAACCAACAGATTGCGTCTTTATCTATTTATTTTGAGGTTTTCACAGCCACATTCAGGACCATGAACGCATCTTACATCCAGTCTTTGATTACCTAAAAGTGACCGGATCATTATGTCCGGGTTGGTGCACCTGTATGTAAACACAGAATGATAAATAAAGTCGTTTACACCATTCGATACTTAAAGGGACACCGGAGTGACACGTCACAGTTCCGGGACCGTTATGTCCAACTATCAACACTTTCAAACGACCAACCTATCAGCCGCCCATGCTTCATTCTATGTCCGTAGTGCAGCCCTCGACTAACGGGGGGGTAGTGGTGGGAAACCTCGGAGCTTCTCCCCTGGCCTGTGCCCCCTCCCCCATTAGCAACACTTAGCATGTTAGCATTCCTATCTTATAAAATCCGCCTACCAACTGTATGTATATGGTTATATCGGTGTAGATTCGAATGAAGTTTCTGTGTCATCAGAGACGTTTAAATAATTGCAGTGTTATTCAGTAAATCCAATTCTCCCAATACACTTACAGAACGGAATCACTTTCAAACGAGCTCGTTGCGTCAAATAACGCGAAATAACGTCACATATTGGCTTCAAACGTGTGGATCCACGCAAATCTTATTAAGGGTTTATTAGTTTTCCCTAACGTTTCCGAGCCACCGCTGTGTTCATTAGCCCCAATAACCAACATTAACGTCCGAGCACAAGTTTAAACACTTGAAATCCGCGACATTTTAAGTTACCTATCGCATTACCAAATTTGCACAAGGGCCAGACACGAGCAATTCCACACGAAATACATTCAGTCTTCATTTAACACTACACGCCGGTATCATTAAAAACCGATCCCTAACAAGAGTAACAGCTCTTTCAATGAAAACTCTCCATATTTAAATCTTCATCTTCAGCCCAACGTTGTATCTAATGGTAAAAAAATACGTCGCTTAACGATGAGAGAGGAACTAGAAAAATACATCTTAAACATTTGGGGGTGTTCTGAATGTATAGTGTTTACCCGGAATTAAGAAAATAAGTACTGTGCGTTTAAAAACGGTTTCATTGAAGAAGGCTCGGGTTTTTACGGACGTAAGGATCAAATAAATGTGAAACTATTCGGTTTTATATGGGATTCCGCTCAGCGGCTGTGTTCGTGCAGCTGTTCTGTACAGGCGGGGGCAGTGTATAAAAACCCACCGAACATCGAGCGACTCGGTGAATGAACGGCGGCGGATCTGTACCTTACTGCGGATCTGTCCGGACGTGGAGACTTTACGGATGAGTTTTTGCGGGGTTCCGGGTTCCTGCTCCGGTTCACTATCCGATGACTCGTCCGGGCACCGGGCCGCTGCGGACTCCGGTCCCCCTGCCTCCGCCATCCTGCCATCAGACCCCCGTTATGCACTCGAGGAGCGAGCGCTCCCCAGCGATGGAAACCAGGCATTACAGTGGAATGTTGGGTCCTGCTTACTGACCTCTGGTGGTTATGTAACGAAGTCGATGTGCTTTAATGCAGAACAGGGAATTATGTATTAATGACTCAGACACAGGTTCGTTGTCCTTACATGCTGCAGTGCACTTATGATTATGATAATATGATGACTGAAGAGAAGGTATACTGTATTGTGTTATTCCATTATAGTTTTCAGGTTCAAAGATTCAGTAAGGATGTCCGAACACAGTGACAGACTGAGCTAAAACATTGATGTCACATGAGCTAACTCCTTTTTGAAAAATAGCTGTAAATAAATTAATAAATGGGAACGCTAACATACAGTTATAAATACAAAATATGGAAGAAAAAATAATAAACATATCTACAATAAAAAATAAATAATTTAACAATATTAATACTGTTATATTAAAATAAAATTCAAATGAGGGATTTCTTGTTTGCATAAATTCTCCATCACACCCACGCATTCTAAGGGAATCTGGAAAATTTGCAGTAGAAAAACCACATAGCTTGATAACCACTACTGTGATATATGAGGTGAACACTGGCTGAGACCACCTAGACTGGAGAATGGGGCAGTTCTAGATAAGCCCACGAATACTTACAGTCTCACATGTTCTTTACATTTTCTCTGGGTCTCTGACTAACTCATCTGTTCCACTTCAGCTCAGTGGGGAATTATCAGGGTCTTGAATTTTGAATGACAGCTGAATGTTTCTCAGTACCTAGGCTCAGAAGCAGGTCGGTGGAAAGGTGTAGGTAGTAGTCTCTGTTTCCTGGATCCAATTTCGTCCGGGGAAAGGGAAGGGAAAGTGTGCACTAACAAACACAGAGAGGGGGGTGGGGGTTACATCTCATTGTATATAACAGCAGTCTTGCAACAAGTCAACAATAAATAAAATAAATACAGGTTTGGATGACTACATTAAACATGTGCAGGCTTCATTGACGGGTGATAGAATCAGGAACTGTCCCATCAGCACTACTCTGGTGACACAGAGCTCTAAAAACATGAAAACATGACGGGCTGCAGCGACACTTCACAAAAGGCTGCCTGAATAAAAACCATACGGCCTTCAGAGGTTTCACAGGGGTGGAGATAAATGTGGGAAAATACTGGGATAGTACTAAGAACTGACACAATCCTGTGACCAAAACCAAACCTGGTCAGATGGGACAGCTTTTAAAGGCGTGTCTTCGACCTCACACTGACAAACTGGACAAAGAGGTGATTTTACTGTAAAACTTACTCAGTTCAATTCAATCCTTCCATTGTCCCTCAGCACTCAAGTCAATCAGATGTTTGAGAATTGTGTTATCAACTGTTTCTGCTAAAGAAGATGTGATGAATGTTGACATGTGTACTCCGTCTTGTCCTTGAGCGACCCCTGTGGTGGTGTTGGTACATGATGCACATGACCACTGACTGGGTTCTGTCCCAGAAGGTTGAGGTCTTTCTCAGTTATCAGATGCGTGTATGTTGAGGCCCATAAGCCCTGCCTACTCTGGGGTTTAGTTGCAGTTGTGATGGGGGACGGCTGTGTTCTCAGACTCAGGAAACTCTGCCCTTATTTTCGGTGGAATCACGGATGTAGCTGTGTTTGCGACAAACCCTGGACTACTATGCACACTTCTACACATACATATACAGGTTGCAGTCGTGCACTCGGGTCAGTGCTGTAAGCCCTTTTGGTCTCATTGTCTATCCTGCTTTAAAAAATACATAATAGTAATGGAACAGGAAAACTTAACTTAACTATAAATATAAGCTGTCTGTTCTTGGAAAGAAAGGGTAAAACATTGAGGGTGGGCCACGAGGCACCGGTACATCATTGTCCTGCCAAACTCCACAGGTGACCTACATGAGTTTAGCTGAATTGATTCCCAGAACATCACATCAACAAAGCATTTTTTAGAATAGCATCAGGTGTCAGAGGGATTAAAGTTACAGCTGTAATCAGGTTAGCTTCCACATGAGCAGGTGTCCATGCACACCCACCACAGCAATGCTTATGTAAAGCTAATGTGAAGTGAATGTAGCATGGAGAATAATGCTAATGTTAAGGTAAAATTATGTTAATGTAACAGTAATGTAAGACTAATTGTATTAATCAAAAAATGTTTTAGTACAGATTTTATTACATTTAAATGTTTTAATAATACAAAGGGAACCAAATAAGGTTCTTAATGCAACACTTATGGAATGCTAATCTAACAATATCTAATGAATGCACATTTTCCATCTGCCTGTAAAACCAGGTTATTGAAGGCTTCCTTTAAAAAAAACAAACACAAGACTTAACAATCGGGTCAGTTAACTTCTGTTTACACTTTTGGGAGCAAAGGGAGGGAAATGACAACAACAAAATATTCACTTCCTAACATGCTCTGCACTGATGAGACCGCAGCACCCGATCCCCTCTACGATCAAGGACGGTTCACCACACACTCCAACAGAGGCACTGAGATTTTACCGCACTCCATTTCATTGGCACAGCTCTTTTATAGGGCCGTCATGAAGAATGGGTGGGTCTCTCAGGTACAGCCATGTCCTGGTTCTGCTTGTCATAATCACAAAGAAACAATGTCCCCAAGACACATTCAATACGCTGCTCCCCGAGGAAGTTTTTTGTATTCACTCCTTTGTACTTGCTGCCCCTGGGTTAAATATCCACCATGTACAATGTGAGTTACACTGTCAAAGAAAACATCATCGGTTCCTCCTGTTAAAGTCTGTGATCAAAACAAATATATTTTATTAAACAGTAACCTCTTTAAAATCTAGATTCAAACCAATTTAACCAAATACGAAATAAATCCTGTGAGACATCTCAACCTTCAAACCACAGAACATATATCCATCCTGTTGTAAAGTGTGAACAACAACAACAGTCTTCAACTAATGTCTTTACCAACTGGTCTGATATCAGCAGCTGAGACTGTGCATCTGTCAAAGGTTTTTCCTTTAATTTATCAGCTGATTATTTGTGGGGATTGAAATGTTCAAGTCGTTGATCACGTTTTTATGCCTCAGATTGTGATCCTGTTTTCCTAGTTGCTTAGGATGATCATGAGAAATGGTCTGTGTGTGTGTGTGTGTGAGTGTGAGTGTGTATGGTGCAATGTGATTCCATTGTGTATTTCTGTAAAGAGGTCACGTTAAAGACAAAGGCATAAAACTAGGTGTGTGAGGGTGGGGTCCAGGTGTTTATTAGCATCAATGTGGGACACAGCTTACATCAGACGCAGGATCGACGACTCCAAGGCACAACGGAGATCTGAGGTTTTTACCACTTTATTATTATTATTATTATTGTTGTAGTATTTTTTTATTTAGCAATTACCCTACTTATGTGTATTTTAAAACGGCTAACCCTAGCAACATATAATATATATAAAATTATTGTCGTATTTGGCTGAATAATAATGTAATAATGAATTATTGTCAGAAATGATACGCAACAAAATTCTAAATTTGATAAAAAAGGTTGAACAGTATATAAATATTATATATTTCTTAAATTAAACAGCGCCACAGTTAAAAAAAAACACATCAAACTCGACATTGACTCAGCATCTGATTAACTGTCATGTGATCAGATGGTTGTTATATACATATTTATAATTCTCTTTGCAGATCATGACGATCTTCTCTCTTCATCTTCTACTGGTGGCCGTATCGCTCCCTGTTCCGATGGGGCTTGCTGACCCAACACCTGCTCCCTTTCCTCCTCTTTTCCCCTTGCCATCTGATGGTGGATTTGACATAGATAGTGGTTTCGGAAACAGTTCCGCATCTGACCTGAGAGAGGAATATTGCCAGAGCCTGTCAAAGGATGCGCCACTGAATGATCTGCCATGGTTCTGTATGTGCAGCCGCTGTACGAAGGAAAACAAGGGGCCAAAGGGAGACAGTGGAGACCGCGGACTGCGAGGTATTAAGGTCAAGCCCTCGGTACATAAACGCACCACTCAGGAATTTTTATTGTGGTTATTGCAGTAAACAATGACAGACACATTGACACAATTGTCTGACCTTAGGAGGTCTGCTGTCAATGACACTGAAACACCTTTGTGGAGTTATGTTAGTTCTTAGCAATTAACAAAGTCAGTCTCTCATTAACGAACTTTAAAAAACACCAGAACTGTCCTTTAATGACTGTAACATCTGCAGGTTGGTCCTGTATCTTGCTGATGTGTCTGAGTTTCTATATTAAATTGTTCAAATTTTGTCTCACTGTGACATGCGTTTTGGACTAAAACATTTCTGATGATTGTTAGGGATGTAGTATACCTGTGGTCCACTGGTGGCAGCACTGAGGGCTTTGTCAACAAATAACTTTAGTTTTACAATACAAGCCCTATGTCCTCTCCTCACTGTCTCTTCTTAGGTAGCCCAGGATCTTTTGGTGGACGTGGATTATCTGGACCAATAGGTCCTCAGGGCTCTGTGGGTAGACCAGGGATTAAAGGTACATTTTTCCATTTTTTTTTTTTTTTTTTTGTTTATTTCTAAATCTTACTTAATCTGGGTCTGATGTTGCGGTTTATGTAGGACAGAAAGGAGAAGATGGTGAGAAGGGACACAGAGGACCTTTTGGACCAGCAGGACCAAACGGAATCCAAGGTTTTAGAGGTGAGACAAGTGTCCTGGTGGTCTTGGCTTTTTAGCTTCAGGTTCAGTTCCTGATACAGTTTTTTTGCAACTAACAGGTGATAATGGGGATGAAGGAATGGCAGGTTATCCAGGACATCAAGGTCCTAAAGGTGATGAAGGAGACTGCCCAGAAATCTGTGAATCCAGTGTTGGTCCCCCAGGACCTCCAGGGCTACCAGGCCCTGCTGGATCCAGAGGTTTGGTCGGAAAAACAGGAGACAAGGGACTAAAAGGCACACAGGGTGAATCTGGTGAGCTGGGTCCAAATGGTGTTCCAGGGCCAGCCGGTCTAAGAGGAGATCTGGGACTCCCTGGAGATTGTAACTGTGTAGATGGAAAGGATGGACCTCCGGGGGAGAAGGGGGACAATGGAGACAAAGGGAGGGAGGGTGACAATGGGCCCCCAGGGCAAATAGGAATACAGGGAATTACGGGAATTCCAGGGCCTATAGGGCCCATTGGTCTTCCTGGTCCCTGCACGCCGAATATGAAGTCAGCATTTGCTGTAGGGCTAACCATCAGCTACCCCCCACCCAACACACCTATAGTCTACAAACATATCTACTACAATATCCAGGGTAATTATAATTCTGTACTTGGTATCTACACCGCCCCCAGCGCTGGCACCTATGTCTTCAGCTACCACGTCAGCACAAACCTTCGCATCCTTAAATGCGGTCTCTTTTTGAACTATGTGCCAGTTGTTAAAACCACAGATAAAAAGTTACGGGGAACTGCTTCTCAGTCAGTCCTTCTTCACCTGGTGGCGGGCGACAGGGTGTGGATGCAGGTAAAGGACCTTGAAACTAACGGCATGTATGTCAGTGCAGAGAACAACAACATCTTCTCTGGATACCTGCTTCACCCAGACACATGTGAAGTGCCCATAGTTAGATCACTAAACGGCACACCAACCCCGAGACCCAGTGGAGGCTCTGATCACTATGAATGGGGGATTATTCCTGGCAACGCCACTGTAACGCCCAATCCCGTCTCCGGTTAGTTTACAGACCATAGGCTTTGGTTCTCGTAGAAGTCAGAGGTAAATGATGGTAGAGCACTTTTACATGATTTTATAATAAAGACCTCAAACAACTTCCCACAGATTAATGCAGAGAAACGAAGCATCTAAAATAAACTTAAACCACACTCAACAGATTATTTATTGGGAAATTAATTTTGCCCCAAAAAAGCATCTGAATTTAAACCAGATTTATTTTCCCTGATGTTCCATGACAATTGATACAGAGTTGTATCAACGTTGAGTGAATTATAAATTTTAGCTCTGCATTAGTAGACGCACAGCACCTGCTTAAAGTCTCCTTACTGACTAGATTATCTGCTTGACTTAATTATATATAGATACTCTTTTAATAATAAAATTATTTGATGAACTGTATGTGAAGTGCTGCCTCCTTAGCTTTAACAGATGTCACCAGGGTGACTGGACGTCCGGCTGAGTTTGGTCAAAGAAAGTCAGTCGTCATGCTAAAGTAAAAAGAACGTAAAAGACATTCTTGCTTCAGCTGCTGGTTCAGTGAACTTTAGTCATAAGGAGAAAATCACTGTTGTCTTTTTTTTGTTGGCCGCTTTTGTCGTTAGCATAAAATTGCCATAAATTGTGGTTTTCACCTCACGTGGAAGTTTGTTTGGAGATCTGGCTTTAGAATTACATCGACACTTTGCTGTGATTTGCCCAGCTTTTCACACAAGCAACACTTATCCTCAGCTTAATTTAGGAGTGAAGGGTTTGAACCCACTGTTACGGATGTGGACGGGCAGGTTGCAAGATAAATAGAATGTAAATAATGGAGGAAACAAGCAGCAGACACGGGCAAAGGATCAAGTCAGGGGAAACAACAAGATTGTTTACGTTTCGGTAACTCACCAGAAGTGAGGTGGCAACATGAAAATGCCATTGTCAGGTTTTCAATCCTTGAAGCCTGCACTTAGGAGGATGAAGGCTTGAGAGTGGCCTACGACAGCCATAACTGTGGGAAGAGAGAGAAGACACACAGAGATTAAGTTGTGATCAGCGACAACTTAAAAATTGATACACACAAGCTAACATGTGTAGCCTCCGGAACTTTGGTGTTCACCAAAAATTGAACTGAGCCTTAGATTACACCAACCAGTTTTACTGTAACACCAAACTGCAGGTTAACAATATAGATGGTTAAATAAAATATTTAACAAGTCCTTGACATTTTTAAGAAGGTTATGGTTACGGTTGCTTTGTTAGTCTTTCTGAACAAAATAGTCCTTTGAATCACCGTTGAATCAATGAAGAGTCAGCTCATGATCATGTCTGAGAGAAGAGGATTTAACAGGACGTTAGACTGTAAAGACAATGTTCTCTCTGTTGTCATGCATGAGAACCACAGTGAATGATCCCAGCCTAGTCCAGTCCAGTTTTTATCAGTGTCTGATTTTCAAAATGATTAAACCTTCAAGCGCTCTATCAATAAATTATCTTCAGCTGAATTATTTCCTTCCTGTTCAAATCTGTTTTCTGACCAAGACACTTTTCTTCTCTACAACTCGTCGTTGTCCTAGATGTTGTTGTTTTCGTTGTGTCCCGTTGTTTGTCGTCATTACCTTGAATTCTCTTTGGTGAGAGAAACCCTGTAAATTAATCTGCAACTAAATCTCATCTTTTTGTCTGTGAGACTTTTTTGTCATTATCCCCTGACACTGAATATGTAGCAGCGGCAGCGTAAACTGATACAAGTCCAGTTTTTAGATCACAGGGCGGAGGTCTCTCTAAACGAACAATATAACAAAAAACTCCCCTTCATCATTCACGCCCTAATGAGGTGAGAATGTTTGTCTCCTGACACATAAGATAGAAACTCACCTAAATTCAGAAGGTGTTGACGTCACCGTAGTCCCAGAAAAACAAAAATCCATGAACTCTGAGTTTGGAAAGGATGAGAAACAATGTTAGCTTAGCTGAATAAAAGCTTGTGCCATGTTAGCAGGGTGTTAGCAGAGTTTCAGGGTCACAAATGATCAGAATCCAAGTCTGTGTCAAATAAAAACATGTCATGTAAATTCAATAATACTGGTACAGTATTAATACTACAACCATGTCAAAGATGTTACAAATACATGTAACACCAGCCTATAAGTGAGAGGGAAGAGAGTTTTCTTCTTTTACTGTATTACTGACAAGTTCAACAATCCTGCACGTCAGAATGGCCCGAGCCAAATAAAGGTGTAACACATGAATATGCAAGTCGTAATTAGAACATTAAATATTACACTCATGTCACAATGTAACTGTACAAAATTTCATTTTGGTATCCACGTGTTATCATAGCTACTTCAGCTAGGTGTTAGCAGAGAGCCTAGACTGAACTCAACACACACAGGACTGTGTGCAGTTACTTTTCTGAGTCTTCTCTTTAGGATTATTTTATTTTCATCGTTATTACTGAAAATAAAATAAAGAAATGGTTGTTGATTATTTGTTCTCAATAAAATGTTAAAAGTAGCATTTACTCTAGGTTTTAGTCTGTGAAGTGTGTAACTGCCCTCCCTCGCCGGCAGAGGGTGCTATGATTGATCAGGATTACTATCCATCCATCCATCCATTTTCATCCGCTTATCCGTTACCGGGTCGCGGAGGTGGCAGTCGCCACCCAAATCACATTGCACCGCACCAACCCCCCCAAGCCTTCCGGCAGGTGGTGAGTCCACTGGAAGGGACCAACCGATTCGAACTTGCCCAGGAGGTGAACCCTGGAGTTCCACACCAATGACAGAGACATTGCCTCTGGGCCAAAGCGCCACTCAGGATTACTAAGTGTTTGCTATTTAATCCAATGTGTACAACCCAGTACAATACTGACACCTATTGGTAAATATTTGTCTTCAGGCTGAAGAATGCCGCCCTGTGGAGGCTACCACCATGATTGAACAAAAGTCAGACCAAGAGTTTGTATATATTAAAAAAATTAAAAGTAAAATTTAAATGTGACGCATGATTCACTTTATTTATTTGATTATTGTTAGAGAAAAGTTAAAAAAAAAGAGCACACTCAGTTTGCCAGTGGTCTGAGACATGACTGGACGTTTGATTAATATTGTTTGAGGGTCAACGGTCGTAAAGTTCTGATGTTAATGATTAAAACCAGTTCTGGTCTGTGCCTCCAACAGCTTTGACCAGTTTTATCATCACATCATGTCAAGTGTGGAGCTGTTACCTTTCGGAAATTCAAAGAAGGGAATCTCTGATGAAAACAGGTTTGGACATTAACTGAGGAAAAAGAGATCTGATCTGTGTCTCTTTTTTTTTTTTAGCTTTTTCACTCGCCCTGGTACAATTGGCTGGTTGTTTCTGTTAATTTACACATATTTGTAATTTTTTTAAATGTCATTGTATCGATACAACAGTAATTCAAACATGTTGCATTAATGACTCCACTACTAACAACATGCAGACCTGTGACAATATACAACAAAGGTGAGGTGGACAAATGACATGCCAGGAGATAATGGGGACATGATGTGGATGGACATGAGGTGGACACACCACATAATGACTTTTCTGGTGTCTCATTAGCTGTTTGTCCCACTGTCCTGAGTGAGAGTCTGTCAGACCTTTTCCATATGTCTCATGTCCCTCTGGCTGCAGACTATAGTTAGGACAAACCATGGGGTCACTAGAGGACACATCATGATCGTTGGACCTTACTGACGCTCTGGACAACAATGCAAGGTCAGGACCAGTATGAGGATGTCAGTGCAAGCTGGGAGGAGTAAATCAGGGTCTGATCGGCTCTTCAGGCCTCAGTGGGAGACTCGTCGTCGTCGCCGTACACCACACCCTTCAGGTAGGCTCGTTTGAACTCCTCAAAGACCATGTCATCTGTCTCACTGTGGGACAGAGGGAAACTTTATGAGGTGAGTAGAGACCGTGGGACAGAGAGAAGGAGATACAGAGACAAATGAAATGTAGTCTCACCTCTCTTTGGCTGCAGACACACGTGAAACAGAAAAAGAAGAGAAAAAAGACAGTGATAATAAAAACTGAATCAGCTGGAGCTTGTGGACACCACAGACAAGGAAGACATGGGGACACGGCGCAGCAGAGGAGCTCAGGTCCTGCTGCTGAACATTCATAGGTTTTCTGTCACTGAGAGTACATGTTAAAATGGACCTGTCTGAATAAAGTGTAATGATTGAAAGAGAATAAAGTGTAATGCATTAAGACATTTGCCCTGATGGATCAGATGAGTGTGAAAGTGTTCAGTTAAGAAGAAGGAAACTCACATTGATCTGGATTTGGATTCATGAGTTTGAAAGGAAGCTCCACACACACGTCACTGAAACACACAGTTAGACATTGTCATGGTTTAAACACTGTATTGACATCTGTTCAGTTTTTATAATGTGTAAAGAACCTAATCCCTAATCTTCATTAATCCTCATCCTCAAACGATTTATTATCACGAGTTTAAAACTCTTTCACAATAAAAGTGACCTAAATATAGGGTCGTGCAAAAGAAACATCACCCTGACAGTACAGTAGATCAGAACACACACACACACACACACTTATGTACCTGGATGTCAGTGTCCTATTGTAAGCAGGAAAAACACAGAAGTCAGAGAGGTCACCGTTAGGTCACAGTAAGGTCACATCCATGATGAATTATCCTGATAGTCTACTCACCCACAGGCCATCATCCTCACCACAACTTTATAAGACACCAGGATTCCCAGGACCTCCTTTAGGACATCCTGTCTCACGCTGAGACACATAAACACAGGAGAAGTCATGTGTTGGTCTTAAAGTGTAAATGTTAGTCTGTGTGTGTGCGTGTGTCTTACATGCTAGAAGAAGCGAGGTTGGTGTCCTCATGTTTCAGTTGTCCATCCAGAGCCAGTCCTCTGCGGTCCTTGTTGTAAGCCAGGATAGGAAACAGTGTGCAGACTGTCCTCAGCTGAGTCCCAGCAGGGACACTGTCCCTGGAACACACACACACACACACTCCATGTTTGTCTCCTAAAGTCATTGAAAACAGGGTTAGAGGTCAAACTCACTCAATCTCCTCTCTGGCCACAGATTTGACGTATTTGTCGTTGGAGTAAAGGACAACGTTGGTCACCTGCTCCACTGAGACAGACGGAGACATAAAAGGACATAAACACCTGCAGTCACAGCTGAGAACTCTGTTATAACACCAGTCATGTGACTTCACCTGACACACTGATGTCCTTGATGTTCCTGCTTGATGAGTTGTCGATGTCAACACCAACACTGACTGGTTCGCCATGATAAAATGTCTGCAAAGATAAAAACAGACGACTGGTTACACTCACATTCACACTCACATTCACACCAATGGTCAGGTGTGAGAGAATGTCTTGAATGTTCAGGACTGTGAGAGGAAAGAAACTCAAGTAAACAAATACACACACACACACATTGAGAACATGAGAACTACATACAACTACAGTTGGCATTGGCGCTCTAACTGTTCTCGCAGTAGGGTTAGCGCGATAACCACCGGTCCACAGTGCAGCCCCTTGGTGTTTCCAATTTGGGATAACTGATGTTTGTTTTAGTGATATTGGGGGTGTACAGCTCCACAGAACAGCCGTCACTGTACCCTCAGCACCCTTCACCCCCCCCAAAGAACTAACATTTCCTGTTGATCTGACGACCTCACCTCTTTAGTCAGACTGAGGATGACTTTCAGCGGTTTCTCTGACATAAGGAACTCAAAGGTTGTCTCAGCCACAGGAACCACGTCACTGACCTCTGGACTGAACTGAATCTTGCGAATACTGAGACGAACTGAACTCCTGCACACAGAAGACAGAAAAACACATTTGGATGTAAGTTCTGCTGGACATCTCTTAATCCTGACCCTGATGCTGGTCCTAGACTCACTGTTTTTCTATCTTCTCATCTTGGTTTTCCCCACAGAAGGCCTTCACCTCAAACTCCACTGCACATTTCTGTCAAAAACACACAGTCAGGACCAGTATACTTCAGGAAGGTGGATCATCAAGAACACCATCATCATCATCACCATCACCATCATCATCATCATCATCATCATCATGATTGAAAAAAGAATATAGTCTGTAGACACTGACTTGACAACATCATCATTGTCTGTGTTTTGTACCAGAATCTTAACCTTTCAACAACCTTCTGTCTGAGCATGTGACAACTGTCATATGTTCGACTGGATGGAGCAGCGTTACCTTCCCCACATCATGTGGTCCTGGCTGAAGAGTGACAGAACACGGCAGGTTGTCTGGAAACTAAGACACAAACATCTTCAGTTAGAAGAGTCATTAGTTCAGAGGTCAGAAGTCCAAATCCAACTTGAGTGCTGAGTTCAATCATATTGGTCCTGTGTTTCTTAACTACTAGGTTACGGCCCAGTAGTGATGCCAGGACAGAGCATCAGGCGATTATCCAATTTCACTTCATTGGTCTGAAAACTATTATTCATTTAATTCCAGTTGTTAGATCTGATCTGTTTCAGCCCCGATTCCATCCCAAAACTAAGCAGGAGAAAGACTTGGAGCTGTTCAAATAATTTTGATGTGTCTTTTTTCAATTCCTGTGAGTATATCAGCGATTTATTCGACTAAACAGGTCCAGGTTTCACACTGAGTAAGTTTAAATTTACTCAATACTCCAAATTTAAAACAGAAGATCATTATATTTCATTACATATACTTTTTATTCAGATGTGGCTCAGCTGCTCCAGCCGATGTTCCTCACCTCAAAGAAGAATGGGTAAGCGTTGTCTCCGAGCTTCCTCAGCAGTTTCTTCTGGATTTTGGTGTGAGTCAGTTTTTCTTTGTCCTGAAGCTCGGGATAAACCTGCCTGGTCTGCAGGAACAGGTCTCTTCTGAAGGCCACGCCCAACACATCCATATCCTGACGACCATAACGGAACGTGCACGACAGCATCACGTACACTACACACCAACACATGAAACATTACTTGACTCTAAAACACAAAACGTCCGGCTTTATCTTTGCAGTGATTTGATTATTAAGAGCTGTTTACAGTGTTTATTTTTATAGGTCAACATTTACAGAACACAACAATCAGAGGTAGCAAACCATCCACCTAAGTGGGGCAGACAAGTGTTGTGATGTGGAGAAATCAACACGTGGACATTTACTGTGATGCCCCACTTTCATAGACAAAGAAGAAGAGAGGTAACCATAGCAACAGGTAATTGACTGTTAACACTGACCTTTCTTTCCCTGCATCTGCACTGGATCAATGACGATCACACCATCTATGAAACAGTTACAAAGGAAGTGTAGTGGAACTTTTTTAGATTTTATGGACTAAGTCACATTCATCACCCACACTGAAATGGACTCAGAGGAAACAGAAGAATTCCAACAAACCTAACACAAACCTTTGATTTGAAGAGGTTATTAGTTTAACTCAGCATTAAAAATAGGACTAGTTATTGACATTTGTAAAAAGCTATCAATGCAGTGTCACATGTTGTGGTTAAGTTCCCTGATCACCTAGTTATAATGCCATTATGATTAGCAGCTCTTTTGAAATAACTAACTCACAACTACATGAACTAACTATTGTCACCGCACACACAATATTATGTGAACTAACTACTGTATAAACCAAAGGGCTGTTTTGACAAGCTACCTCTTGATTGTCTAACAAACTGTGTCAAAATGATATCACTAACTCACCGACTGGATCCACAAAATCACAGTGGTCCACAAAGTCTCTCCTGCCCATGTAGACAGTCACCTGAGGAGCAGAGGCGGGTCAGAACCACAGCATCATCTAAAGACTGATGAGTCCAACTCTGGTCAAATCCTGCAGAATTATTTAAACCAGACCTACTAGTCTAGGATGAGTTCACTCACCGACTTGTCCTTGGAAACCTTCTTGAAGATGACATGTTTTGGAGACATGGCGACTTCAGAAGAACTCGTCCTTCCTGGAAGTCAAACGATTGTGTTTCCCTGATGATACAAAATAACAATGTTAATGATGGTAGCTTCATTATGTGCAATGTCACGTGGTTAACCTTCCCTGATCACTTTAAGTATAATGCCATTATTATTATTACCAACAGCTCTTTTTAAATAACTCATTCAAACTGACTCCATGACTAACTTTTGACATTGTCCTCTGTTGACTTCATCCATAAAGAATTTCAAATGGTTTAAAAATATGTTAAAAATCTAATCACACCTTTTAAATTTTCAAAAAATGAACCAAGTATTTTTACATTTTAGCCACTTCTTTGACTATATT